CGTATACAGAATAAATTTTTGGTATGCCCAGATCAGTGTAGAGCGATTTCACGCGTCTTACTTTCTCCGGATCCGAAACTCCATAACACTCCTGCACCGTGAAAAATAAGAAACAATTTAACGAGCGTTTGCTGAAATAATCAACAGCTTGTAGAATCAACAATACCCACTTCCAAAATTTTACGCTGTTCTGGGGTTGCACGTTGGAGAGCTACAACAGCCAGCCACGTACATGTTCCCTCCTGGATATCAGTATCATCCTTGTGATAGACGTCGGGATCTCCAAAGCAACCCAAATAATCATCTTGGATTTGAAACAAGTTCCCCATCTCTAACAAGATGATTTTCGCTTGCCTGAACATCTCTGGATCCTTCATTCCGGCCTACATCAAATAATGTATCACAATGTATCATTACTATCGAAGCTTATCAGTTTTTTCGTACATAAGAAAATGTGGTGCTACTTACTAAATGCATCGCTGCGGTTACTGGCAAAAGAAATGAATAATATGACGTTTTGTACTCGATAATGGCATTATATTGATTCATCGTAAACAGATCCAGATTGGGCTTCTTGCTGAAATTAGTGAGCAACTCTAAGGATTCCCCTATCACAGTCTTCATTGTGATCTGTCGAAATACTTTCGTACATAATTGTTCGATTAAAAAATAAATGGAGAGGAGCTTACAGTGTTTACATAATGTTTAATCAGAAGAAAGATTTTCGCTCACATCATGGAACGTTTCTAATAGATTAACGTAGCATTCTTTTCCTTTGAAGTACTTTCGAATTAGATAAAACATTGCGCACTGTAATATTAAACTGTCGTTGACTGCCGCTAAACCTAGATCGTTGCATCGATACCAACATGGTTGGCCTCGGCGAAGTGACGATTGGTCCAGTATATCGTCGATCATGAGCAAATAAGCTTGCAACTGTAACAATATTAATTATTTTCATTTATTTTTGAATTAAAATAACTTATTATGTTGTTTTTAATTTAAAGATAAT